TGCTGCAAGGAGGCATGAGGACTGCAGATGTGGCCAGGGCAATAAATTGCAATGTCTGTACTGTGAGACGCCTAAGACAGAGCTACAGGGAGACAGGACGGACAGCTGATCGTCCTCGCAGTGGCAGACTACGTGTAACAACACCTACACAGGATCGGTACATCCGAACATCACACCTGCGGGGCAGGTACAGGATGGCAACAACAACTGCCGGAGTTACACCAGGAACGCACAATCCCTCCATCAGTGCTCAGACTGTCCGCAATAGGCTGAGAGAGGCTGGACTGAGGGCTTGTAGGCCTGTGGTAAGGCAGGTCCTCACCATACATCACCGGCAACAATGTCACCTATGGGCACAAACCCACCATCGCTGGACCAGACAGGACTGGCAAAAAGTGCTCTTACATTACATTTACCATTTAGCAGACACTCTTATCCAGAGCGACTTACAGTTAGTGCATACATTATTCTTTTTTATTTTCATACTGGCCCCCCGTAGGAATCGAACCCACAACCCTGGCGTTGCAAACGCCATGCTCTACCAACTGAGCTACCTCCCTGCCGGCCATTCCCTCCCCTACCCTGGACAACGCTGGGCCAATTGTGCGCCGCCCCATTGGTCTCCCGGTTGCGGCCGGCTACAGCAGAGCCTGGATTCGAACCAGGATCTCTAGTGGCACAGCTAGCACTGCGATGCAGTGCCTTAGACCACTGCGCCACTCGGGAGACACTCTTCACTGACGAGTCGTGGTTTTGTCTCACCAGGGGTGATGGTCGGATTCACGTTTATCGTCGAAGGAATGAGCGTTACACCGAGGCCTGTACTCTGGAGCGAGATCGTTTTGGAGGTGGAGGGTCCGTCATGGTCTGGGGCAGTGTGTCATAGCATCATCGGACTGAGCTTGTTGTCATTGCAGGCAATCTCAACGCTGTGCGTTACAGAGAAGACATCCTCCTCCCTCATGTGGTACCCTTCCTGCAGGCTCATCCTGACATGACCCTCCAGCATGACAATGCCACCAGCCATACTGCTCGTTCTGTGCGTGATTTCCTGCAAGACAGGAATGTCAGTGTTCTGCCATGGCCAGCGAAGAGCCCGGATCTCAATCCCATTGAGCACGTCTGGGACCTGTTGGATCGGAGGGTGAGGGCTAGGGCCATTCCCCCCAGAAATGTCCGGGAACTTGCAGGTGCCTTGGTGGAAGTGTGGGGTAACATCTCACAGCAAGAACTGGCAAATCTGGTGCAGTCCATGAGGAGGAGATGCACTGCAGTACTTAATGCAGCTGGTGGCCACACCAGATACTGACTCTTACTTTTGAGTTTGACCCCCCCTTTGTTCAGGGACACATTATTCAATTTCTGTTAGTCACATGTCTGTGGAACTTGTTCAGGTTATGTCTCAGTTGTTGATTCTTGTTATGTTCATACAAATATTTACACATGTTTAGTTTGCTGAAAATAAACGCAGTTGACAGTGAGAGGACGTTTCTTTTTTTGCTGAGTTTATATACAGTGCCAGTCAAACGTTTGGACACACCTACTCATTCAAGGGTTTTTCTTTATTTTTACTATTTTTTTACATTGTAGAAAAGTAGTGAACACATCAAAACTGATTAGTGGCTTCCGTCTGGACACTCTACCATAAAGGCCTGATTGGTGGAGTGCTGCAGAGATGGTTGTCCTTCTGGAAGGTTCTCCCATATCCACAGAGGAACTCTGGAGCTCTGTCAGAGTGACCATCGGGTTCTTGGTCACCTCCCTAACCAAGGCCCTTCTCCCCTGATTGCTCAGTTTGGTCAGGCGGCCAGCTCTAGTCTTGGTGGTTCCAATCTTCTCCCATTTAAGAATGATGGAGGCCACTGTGTTCTTGGGGACCTTCAATGCTGCAGAAATGTTTTGGTACCCTTCCCCAAATCTGTGCCTCGACACAATCCTGTCTCTGAGCTCTATGGACAATTCCTTGGTTTTTGCTCTGACATGCACTGTCAACTGTGGGACCTTATATAGACAGGTGTGTGCCTTTCCAAATCATGTCCAATCAATTGAATTTACCACAGGTGGACTCCAATCAAGTTGTAGAAACATCTCAAGGATGATCAATGGAAACAGGATGCACCTGAGCTCAATTTCGAGTCTCATAGCAAAGGGTCTGAATAGTTATGTAAATAAGGTGTTTCTGTCTATTGGGGAACCCTGCCCTATACGGTAGCGTAACTGCTCTACCAACCTTTATTAGCATGCTATTTAACTTATATATATAAGCATGCATGGTACAGGATGGTAACCTCTCTAGCAAAATCCATTAGCATCCTATTCAACCTCTCCAGCGACCTATGAAAGCACGGTCGGTGAGTCAGAGGCATCTGGGGGAGCAGCTGCTCTTAAGCGTTCCTTTGATCTTCCCCAATTAGGGTCCGTCCGGAGTGTGTGTGAGAGTGAGTGTGCGCAAGTGTGTGTGATTCACAGAGCTTGTCACACCAGACACACACTGATGTTTATACACGACTGACTCCTTGAAGTGCGTTTGTGTCACGACTCCCAACATTGGCCTCTTTAGAGCAGCGCTGAGGTGAGTGCAGTGAGTCAGCAAGGTCTTGTAGAGGGGATCATTATGGAGAGATACTTCTCTATTCCTCTCCCTCTCACATACTCTCTCTCTCTCTGACGTTTTACTTTCCTCTCCTTTTCCTCATCTCTCCCTTTCTCCCTCTTTTCCCGCCACATTGCCTCTCCCTCATTACTGCTGAGGCAGTCAGAGATCATGACCTGTTCCCCCTCATTACTACTGAGGCAGTCAGAGATCATGACCTGTTCCCCCTCATTACTACTGAGGCAGTCAGAGATCATGACCTGTTCCCCCTCATTACTACTGAGGCAGTCAGAGATCATGCCCTGTTCCCCCCCCCTCATTACAACTGAGGCAGTCAGAGATCATGACCTGTTCCCCCTCATTACTACTGAGGCAGTCAGATATCATGACCTGTTCCCCCTCATTACTACTGAGGCAGTCAGAGATCATGCCCTGTTCCCCCTCATAACTACTGAGGCAGTCAGAGATCATGCCCTGTTCCCCCTCATTACTACTGAGGCAGTCAGAGATCATGCCCTGTTCTCCCCCATTACTACTGAGGCAGCCAGAGATCATGCCCAGCTCCCCCCCCCCCCCCATTACTACTGAGGCAGTCAGAGATCATGCCCTGTTCCCCCCCCATTACTACTGAGGCAGTCAGAGATCATGCCCTGTTCCCCCCATTACTACTGAGGCAGTCAAAGCTCATTCCCTGTTCCCCCCCCATTACTACTGAGGCAGTCAGAGATCATGCCCTGTTCCCCCCCATTGCTACTGAGGCAGTCAGAGATCATGCCCAGCTCCCCCCCCCCCCCCCCCCCCCATTACTACTGAGGCAGTCAGAGATCATGTCCTGTTCTCCCCCATTACTACTGAGGCAGTCAGAGATCATTTCCTGCTCCCCCTAATTACTACTGAGGCAGTCAGAGATCATGCCCTCAACCCCCCCATTACTGCTGAGGCAGTCAGAGATCATGCCCTGTTCCCCCTCATTACTACTGAGGCAGTCAGAGATCATGCCCTGTTCCCCCCCATTACTACTGAGGCAGTCAGAGATCATGCCCTGTTCCCCCTCATTACTACTGAGGCAGTCAGAGATGATGCCCTGTTCCCCCTCATTACTACTGAGGCAGTCAGAGATCATGCCCTGTTCCCCCTCATAACTACTGAGGCAGTCAGAGATCATGCCCTGTTCCCCCTCATTACTACTGAGGCAGTCAGAGATCATGTCCTGTTCTCCCCCATTACTACTGAGGCAGTCAGAGATCAATTCCTGCTCCCCCTAATTACTACTGAGGCAGTCAGAGATCATGCCCTCAACCCCCCCCATTACTGCTGAGGCAGTCAGAGATCATGCCCTGTTCCCCCTCATTACTACTGAGGCAGTCAGAGATCATGCCCTGTTCCCCCCATTACTACTGAGGCAGTCAGAGATCATGACCTGTTCCCCCTCATTACTACTGAGGCAGTCAGAGATGATGCCCTGTTCCCCCTCATTACTACTGAGGCAGTCAGAGATCATGCCCTGTTCCCCCTCATAACTACTGAGGCAGTCCGAGATCATGCCCTGTTCCCCCTCATTACTACTGAGGCAGTCAGAGATCATGTCCTGCTCCCCCTAATTACTACTGAGGCAGTCAGAGATCATGCCCTCAACCCCCCCATTACTACTGAGGCAGTCAGAGATCATGTCCTGCTCCCCCTAATTACTACTGAGGCAGTCAGAGATCATGCCCTCAACCCCCTCATTACTACTGAGGCAGTCAGAGATCATGCCCTGTTCCCCCCCCCTCATTACAACTGAGGCAGTCAGAGATCATGACCTGTTCCCCCTCATTACTACTGAGGCCAGTCAGATATCATGACCTGTTCCCCCTCATTACTATGAGGCAGTCAGAGATCATGCCCTGTTCCCCCTCATAACTACTGAGGCAGTCAGAGATCATGCCCTGTTCCCCCTCATTACTACTGAGGCAGTCAGAGATCATGCCCTGTTCTCCCCCATTACTACTGAGGCAGCCAGAGATCATGCCCAGCTCCCCCCCCCCCCCCATTACTACTGAGGCAGTCAGAGATCATGCCCTGTTCCCCCCCATTACTACTGAGGCAGTCAGAGATCATGCCCTGTTCCCCCCATTACTACTGAGGCAGTCAAAGCTCATTCCCTGTTCCCCCCCATTACTACTGAGGCAGTCAGAGATCATGCCCTGTTCCCCCCCATTGCTACTGAGGCAGTCAGAGATCATGCCGTCCCACCCCCCCCACCCCCCCCCACCATTACTACTGAGGCAGTCAGAGATCATGTCCTGTCTCCCCCATTACTACTGAGGCAGTCAGAGATCATTTCCTGCTCCCCCTAATTACTACTGAGGCAGTCAGAGATCATGCCCTTCAACACCCCCATTACTGCTTGAGGCAGTCAGAGATCATGCCCTGTTCCCCCTCATTACTACTGAGGCAGTCAGAGATCATGCCCTGTTCCCCCATTACTACTGAGGCAGTCAGAGATCATGACCTGTTCCCCCTCATTACTACTGAGGCAGTCAGAGATGATGCCCTGTTCCCCCTCATTACTACTGAGGCAGTCAGAGATCATGCCGTGTTCCCCCTCATAACTACTGAGGCAGTCAGAGATCATGCCCTGTTCCCCCTCATTACTACTGAGGCAGTCAGAGATCTGTCCTGTCTCCCCCCCATTACTACTGAGGCAGTCAGAGATCATGCCTGTTCCCTCCCATATACTGAGCAGTCAGAGATCAGCCCTGTTCCCCCCATTACTATGAGGCATGTCAGGATCATGCCCTTCCCCCCCCCATACTACTGAGGCAGTCAGAGATCATGCTGCTCCCCCTAGAAATGAGGCAGTCAAGATCATGCTGTTCCCCCCATTACTTAGGCGAGACATGCCCTACCCCCCCATACTTGGCTGAGATCATCCCTGCTCCCCCCCCACCCCCCCCCCCCCCATACACTCCCAGGATGAGCCCCCCCCCACTCCTACCAAGATTCATGCCCTGTTCCCCCCAGCACACTAGTCGAGATCATGCCCTGTTCCCCTCATTACTACTGAGGCAGTCAGAGATCATGCCCTGTTCCCCCCATACTACTGAGGCAGTCAGAGATCATGCCCTGTTCCCCCCCATTACTACTGAGGCAGTCAGAGATCATGCCCGTTCCCCACCCATTACTACTGAGGCAGTCAGAGATCATGCCCTGTTCCCCCCATTACTACTGAGGCAGTCAGAGATCATGCCCTGCTCCCCCCCCATTACTATGAGGCAGTCAGAGATCATCCCCTGCCTCCCCCCCATTACTACTGAGGCAGTCAGAGATCATGCCCTGTTCCCCCCATTACTACTGAGGCAGTCAGAGATCATCCCTGTTCCCCCCCTTACTACTAGCGAGATCATGCCTTCCACTACTGAGGCAGTCAGAGATCATGCCCTGCTCCCCCGCCTTACCACTGAGGCATCAATCATTCTCCCCCCCCCCCTGGGCATCAGATCATGACTGGCTCATCACAGTGAAATGAGCTCTCTTCTACCCCCCCCCCCCCCCCCCCCCCTCTATCTCTCTCTTTCATTTAGATCAGTTAGAGTAACCCAGTGTCATGGAGTAGATGATCTGTTCTGATCCTCCTCTAGGGCTCACCCTGCAGCTTTTTACCCCAATGTCATTATCCCTGATTACCTCACCTCCAGAGTATCTCATTAAGACGCAGAAGGAAATGACACACAAACACACAATCAAATAAACACAAACAAACAAGCACTCCCGTATAGTCGTGTATCAGCACCTGCCATGGGACTTTGATTATGAAACTGTGACGGGAGGATTTTCTCACACCCCAGCCTTCCTGTAAACATTGCCTGTGTGATTATAGTCTGCTTGATTATTATAAACCATAGAGTTGGATAGAGGCCACATCTTTGCATATGTGCCATAATGGTTTCTATGACAGCATGACAGCGCCATTGAGGGCTATCTCCATTGGTGAAAGTCCTCAATGGCGCTGCCCATGCTAAAACCGGCTTTGTGGCAAGTGCACCCTCTATTCAACTCTATGATATCAACCAACTTCTAGTTGTCCTGATCCTGGATCTTATTTCTATTTATTTATCAGTCTCATGATGTTGGAGAAAGACCTTCTGCAAGAAATGATACTGTAAGTTGTCTGTGATGCTAGTTTGCATCAAAATACTGTTGTTGTCAATGTACGTGACAATGTCAATGTACGTGACGAACAGTCACAGTCAATTGTCAATGTACGTGATATAAATGTACATTATATTTGTTAATAATACAAATCCATTTATTCATGATCATTTCCATTTTATTTAGAACATATTGGCTAAGGGAAAAGTACAGTAGCTAAATATATATCCCTGTTTCTGATGAAAGTTATGAAAGAAAGAAGGATAGTGGATTTTCCACAAAGTGCTAGGGGAAGTGTGAGCGTCATAGCGCTAGCTAGGGGAATTAAACGGTATGAAAAGCCATTTAAAAACAGCCGCAATATGACCCTTCTAAGACTGTTAAAACGCAGTTAGCATTAGGAGAGGAGGGCCCATAGAAACACATTGAGGGACTCAAAATGTTTTTTAAATGTTCTTCAAGCGTTGTTGTTAAGCTTTTCATGTTCAGTCAGTCTGGATAGAACCTGTTACGTCATAGTACCTTGTGGTTAGCAGCAAACCGCAGCACATATCTGACAGACTAGATATGTCAGCTCAGAATATGCTTGATTTAAGTTTGTACCCAATCCTTTTCCTTGTAATCGGGTGTGATTCCTCATCCCTGGCCTGTGTCTGATCTTGCCATTGGTTGTCGTTTCAGCAAGGCGAATGGTGCGAGCCAATCACGTTGCGTCCTCCCAACGAGGCCACCTCGTCCACTCCAGTGCAGTACTGGCAGCACCACCCTGAGAAGCTCATCTTCCAGTCGTGTGACTATGAAGCTTACGTGAGTAGTCCCGCCCCTACGTTTACAGTGTGTGTGTGTGTGTGTGTGTGTGTGTGTTTGTGTGTGTGTGTATTTGTGTGTGTGTGTGTGTGTGTGTGTGATGTGTGTGTGGTATGTGTTTGTGCTTGTGTTAGTATGCTTTTCATGCATGTATGATATGCTTGTGAATGTGTATACATTAGCATCTTATCATATTCTACAGCAGTGGTATTCAAAGTCGGGGTCACGACCCCACTAGGGGAACATCAGTGGGGTCAATAAAAAGGAAAACAAATTTAGAGTACAGATTATTGGATGAGACAATATACGTTTTTCGGAAAGATCATTTAAAAAAAATACAATTTTATTGAGTAAATGAATTTATTGGTTTCTTTTCATTTTGATAAGAGAAGAAAATATAATGAAGGTTATTTGTTGATGTAAAAATGTACAGATTTTAAGGTTATGTCATTATATTTGGGTTAGGGTAGGGTTGCGAGAAATTATTGGGGGAAAAATGGTGTCCCCAGAAATTCTGGTGGACAAAATGGGGTCCCCGCTGAAAAGGTTTGAATAACACTGTTCTACAGGAACGTGGGAGAGATGCCCTGTCCGTCAAGTGGGTCCAACACACACACACACAATTTCAGGGAACACACACACACACTGACACTCCCTAACACTCTTCGACAGCTCTCCACACTCCCACCATCTACTCTAACCCTGGCCTATAGCTGACGTATGTTATGCCCTCTGATGTAAAGTACCTGCGCTTGTGTTACCTAACCGACACACTGGAGGTATTCAGGAGTAAAACCATGTTTCACCCTTCGATCAATACTGCACTGAGCTATTCACGCTGCTGCGGTCATTTTAGCCTCCCGTTACATAAAACCAACCATGTTACCAAGGATACTGCACATGTACATTTGATTGGCTTATCCCCAGCAACCATGTAACACTGATTACTACCCACTTTCAGCTGATGAATCATCGGGAAGATGATTGGCTCCCATTTCGAGCCTGGAGGCTCCCATTGGCTCTCGGGGCCAGCCGTGTTGAATTGTGATTGACTCTTGCAGAGTTGTGCATAGTGATTGGCTCAGAGGTGCTGTTGTGGAGTTGTGTGGGCAGAGGTGGCTAGAGGATTAGAGAGAGAGAGAGAAACAGTGAGTGAGTGTGAATATGCGAGAGAGTGTTTGTGAGAGAGTGAGGGAAAAGGTAGTGTGGGTTGAGAGAGGGAGAAAGGAACTGTAAATAAATAAAATAATGGGTCCCAAGCAACCACTCTCCCAGGACTGCAGCTCCGCATGGCCCCACGAAGATAGATAGATGAGAAACTGAGAGAGGAAGAAAAGAAGGGAGGGAGGGAGGAGGATGGAGAGATTAGGGGAGGTGAGGAGTAAAGGGAGGACATATCAGGAGGGAGGGAGGGAGGAGGGGAGGGAGGGAGGGAGGAGAGGAGGGAGGAAGGGAGGAGGATGGAGAGATTAAGGGAGGTGAGGAGTATAGGGAGGACATATCAGGAGGAGGGGAGGGAGGGAGGAGGGGAGGGGGGGGGGGGGGGAGGGAGGGGGAAAAGAAACAGAGTGAGATAAAGTGTGACTAAAAGGAAGAAACAGACATTTAAATAAGCATGAAGAGTTAAGCAGTGTACGGAGGTAGAGTGAGGGAGAGAGGATAGAGTTGAGGATGTAAAAAGAGAGAAGAGAGGGACGAGTGACAAGTCCTCTAAGGCCTGACGCTGTCATCACACTGATTCTATTACAAAGAGACGATTCTCTAACGTCATTACAACGTTGTCTTCATAAAACCAGACAATACCCAAACATTGTTCTAATCAATTCTTTATTATAGACCATGCTCTACGCTTTCTTTATTAACATTCTTAGACAGCCAAATGTCATCACTGCATATATGACATACCTTCTTTATTACACCAGACAATGTCCTAACGTTATTTCAACGTTGTCTATATTAAACCTCAGATAATACCCTAACATAATTTCACCGCTTTTGGGATTAGTGTCGTGCATGATTACATTGTCCATTTCTAGAGCTTGATGGTTCTTGAATGTCATTTTAGCACAGGAGAAACTAGAAAAAGCACTCCCTATAATAAATGCACTGTTGTTGCACTTTTAAAGGGAAACTTTACTAAGCTGTTGCTCCAATGTTATCACAACGTGTCCTCTTATGATCTATGGCTAGAATAACACACATAATCCTGACTGTATAATCGGTCAAAACTGATTCCCCAAAGCGTGTAGCGTTTTCACTCTGTTACTATGTTCTCTGTTATGTTATTACTATGTTCTCTGTAACGTTTTCAGCATCAGACGACACTACCCTGACACTGTAACATGAATAACTGTATGTGTGCGCGCACACACACACACACACACACACACACACACACACACACACACACACACACACCCAGAGAGAGGGGCTTCTTGCTGGTCTGTAACATTATTACAGGGTTCTCTATACGAGAACAGACGACGTTCCCTTGATACCATAACATTATTAACAACCGAGCCAGACAGAGCAGTAACCAGCCCAGACAACCCCACTACAACCTCCACATGAATCTGTCTACCTCCCATTAAGAAATTAGTCATTCATTCTACAGCACATAAAATAGGAGATAAATCAAGTAAATGCAGTTCAGGGTAAGGTTGTTTTGCTGTAAACAAATACATTGCATTAGCTTATCTTTTGACGAAAGGTAAGGTTAGGTGAATCGTTTTGAGGGGACATTTTCAAAAGCATATCCTGTAGTAGGGTAAATGATTTAGGGTCAGGGGGTCTAGGTATAAAACGATCAATATTTACACTTTAGGTGTCCGAAACATTCTATAAGAAATCCTCTTTGGGCCTTTTAGCTCTCAAATGAAGGGTTAGTGCTCTGAGCAGTTTATCGTACACCCATTACATCCTCACAAACTAGGTCCCCTAGTGATGTCCCCACTTTGCACGTTTCCAGCCCCTCCCAAGCGCTGTTTGCACTCCTCTGGTGCTTTCAAGGTTGTTTTAATCACTTCAGAAAGCACTGCTTTATTATGCGACTGGCTGGCTAGCTGCTGCCACACACACACACACACACACACACACACACACACACACACACACACACACACACACAGCAAGTGATGTCATCATCTGAGCAGAATATTGTTGTTTGAGTTTTTTTCAAATTGAAGTATTGGACTTTTGGGAGTAAGTGATTTGATCATTTATGTATACATCTTACATTGAATGATTATATGAACCTTCATGTATCTGTACAATAGCTCTACGATGGAATGTGAATGTGAACATTATTGACCTTTATGTCTCTGACAGTACCTGGGCTCCATGCTGGTAAAAGAGCTGAGAGGAACAGAGTCAACACAAGACGCCTGCTCCAAGATGAGGGTAAGAGGGCCCGGCACAGCGTCACATCACTACCACACAGAGAGAGAAACTAGGGCCACTTAAACAACACTGTAGTGTAATTTTTACCTGGATTCACCTCCCTCTCTTTAGCTCTCTGTTATTCTCTTTCACTTTATTCACCTTCTTCCTCTAGCTCTCTCTTCCCCTTCTCTATCTATGAGTACTGCAGTGTGGAAGTGAGAAGAGACTATTAATAGTATACTCTCCGTCCCTATACGTGTCATCCTCCTCTCTTTATTGTTTATGTACTCCGGCCCTAATCTACTCTTTTATATGTTTATGCATCTCGTCCTTCATCCTCTCTTTTATAGTTTCTGTCCCTTCCGTCCTCTCCTCCTCCTTTATATGTTCTGTTCTGTCCCTCTCTTCCTCTCTTTATTGTTTCTGTCCCTCCTCGTCCCTCTCTCCTCTCTTTATTTTCTGTCCTCCCCGTCCTTCCTCTCTCTCTTTTATATGTTCTGTCCTCCTCCAGTTCCCTAATCATACCTCCTTATATGTTTCGTCCCTCTCCGTCCCTCCTCCTCCTCCTCTTTATCTGTTTCTGTCCCTCCTCGTCTTCCTCCTCCTCCTCTTTTTACTGTTTCTGCCCCTCTTCCTCGTCCCTCCTCAATACTCCTCTTATATGTTCTGTCCACCTCCTCATCCTACTCTTTTACTCTGTTCTGTCCACTCCTCTCCTCCTCTTTATCTTGTTTCTGTCCCTCCTCCGTCCCTCCTCCGTCCCTCCTCCTCCTCCTCTTTATCTGTTTCTGTCCTTCCTCCTCCTCCTCTTTATCTGTTTATGTCCCTCCTCCGTCCTTCCTCCTCCTCCTCTTTATCTGTTTCTGTCCCTCCTCCGTCCTTCCTCCTCCTCCTCTTTATATGTTCTGTCCCTCCTCCGTCCTTCCTCCTCCTCCTCTTTATCTGTTTCTGTCCCTCCTCCGTCCCTCCTCCTCCTCCTCTTTATATGTTTCTGTCCCTCCTCCGTCCCTCCTCCTCCTCCTCTTTATCTGTTTGGTCATCTGAGGAGAGCAGACAGCTCCCCATGCCGCAGACACCTCAGAGATGCCTCTACCTCTCCCTCCCTCTTTCGCCCTCGCTCTCTCTCTCTCGGTTTATCTTGATCTGCCAATACGATAGATGCTGTTGCTGTTTTTATTGTCATTACATTTGGAGCTCTGCTCTTGAAGTCCCTACCTGCATCCTCTTATACCCCCCCCCCCCCCTCTCTCTCTCTCTCTCTCTCTCTCCTTCTCCATCCCTCTGCCTCTTTTCTCTCTGCTCTCTATATTTCCATACTTGTGGACACAGTAGCAACATGGCCCATGTGAATATATCATTCCCACTGCTCTGTCTTTGTGTCTGGCAACGCTGCGTTTATCGGCCCTCATAAGCCCGTGATCTTGACAGGGAACCGCTGCACTAGAAACATGCTGATGTTGAGGAAACAGAGAGAGAGAGAGCGGGGGGTGGGGGGGGGAGAAAGAGAGGGGGGAGAGGAAGGAGGGGGAGGAAGGATGGATGGGTGGGTGGGAAGGATGGATGGGGGGGGGAGAGGAGTGGAATTCATACGAGATCTGTTGAATATATTAAATCCCTGACAGGTGGAATGATGGTACTAGGGTGATACTGATTTTAAATCACATCATTCCCCACTGCGGCAGTGCATAATAAGCTTAACAATGGGAGAACGGGAAAAAGAAACATACGCCTGTCAGACGAGAGCGGGTGGTAGTGAGTCTGGACGGGCACAGAACGAAGAAAGGGATATAGGAGAGATATTTATGGGTTGAAAGATAATAGTTATATTGTGCCTCCTTGGGGGAAATCTATACGTTTTGAAAATGTAATTTGCTAAGGCGCAGGGTAACCTTTGAACTTTGAGAAGATTGGAATTGATTCTGGTAATCAAGAGGAGAGTGTTTGGATAGGCTGGCTCTCTCTGTGTGTAATGATCTCATCCCTCTCTCTCTCTCTCTCTTCCCACCCCTTCCCCCTCTTTTCTGCTTAGTTATATGCTTGTGTTGATTTCATCTTTCTTTCTCTCTCTCTCTCTTCCCACCCCTTCCCCCTCTTATTCTATCTAGTTATAAGCTTGTGTTGAGCTCTCATCTCATAATCTATCATCTCTATCTGTTCCCACTAGGGTTGCAAAATTCAGAGAACTTTCAAGAAATTCCCTACCTTTCCCGAAATCCCGGTTGGAGGATTCCCAGAATCCGGAGGGAATAAGCCGTAAATCCAGAATCATCCAACCCATGATCTCAGAAAAAAACTTGGAATTTATTGAAAGTTTTGCCACCCTAGTCCCCACTCTCTCTAAAATTGTATTATGTTGTGAAGAGATTCTTATTGTAGGGTTTTATTGTTCTACTGTGGAGGGAGACGATGAAACCAAGGTCTTGATAGCCTTGTGTTGGTTGCCATCATTAGTCTAATTGACTCATAGACTACATGATAAAAAAGAGCATCAAATGTTAACAGGCAGCCCCTCTTTTCCGTTCTGTTCCCTCTCTCTTTCTCTCTCCATCTCTCTCTCCACTCTACAGAAGTCTACAGAACAGATGAAGAAAGTCCCAACCATTGTTCTCTCTGTCTCCTACAAGGGAGTCAAGTTCATTGACGCTACAAACAAGGTGAGAGCCTTTCTTTCCTCCTGTACCATTACTGAGAGTAATAACTGAACAGCACTGGGTGAAAGCAAAAAATAAGATCTTGTCGGTTTCACAAGATCAACAGTCTGAACTTACATCACATAAACCTTCTCTAAAGATCTCCAACCCCTCCTCTCTCTCTCTCTATATCTTCTCCTCTCTGTCTATTGTCTCTGTCTCGTGGTCTGGAGCGAGCGCGGGGGAGTCTGGAGAGAGGGGAGGGAGGAGATATAGGCGAGAGCGAAGGAGCTAGGGGGTCATCTTCTCGCTGGCTCCGCTAGTCGCCTCGCTCTCGTCGCTCGACTGCTAGCTTCGCGTATTCTATCTATATCGTTTTTCTCTCTATCTATCTCTCTTCTCTCTCTCTCTCTCTCTCTCTCTCTCTCTCTCTCTCTCTCTCTCTCTCTCTCTCTCTCTCTCTCTCTCTCTCTCTCTCTCTCTCTCTCTCTCTCTCTCTCTCTCTCTGTCTCTGTCTCTGTCTCTCTCTCTAGAACATCATAGCTGAGCATGAGATCCGTAACATCTCGTGTGCGGCCCAGGATCCTGAGGATCTGTCCACGTTTGCCTACATCACCAAAGACCTCAAGTCCAGCCACCACTACTGCCATGTCTTCACTGCCTTCGACGTGGTGAGTCACACACACACACACAGCACCCTCTGTCTGTGAGGGGGACAAGTAGCTTTATTAATTAGTTACTTCCTGGTTGAGTTTGAGAACTACTGTTATGATGATATGGCAGATTTTACATAGTGTGTGTTTGTATGTGTGTGTGTGCAAGTGCGTGCGGGTACATGCATAACATTAGATGCGTATGTGTGTGTGTGTTTATGCCATTTCGTGTGTGTGTATAACAGAACCTGGCATATGAGATCATCCTAACCCTGGGTCAGGCTTTTGAGGTAGCTTACCAGCTGGCCCTGCAGGCCAGGAAGAGTGGCCACGGCTCCTCCACGCTGCCAGAGAGCTTCGACATCAAGCCCAACAAGCCCGTCCCCAAGCCCCGCGTCAACATCCGCAAGTCTGTGAGTAATGACACTGGTTTATACCCTCCGTTTAACCTTTACCCTCTACTACTACCTCTACCACGACCTCTCACCTTTCACCTCTCATCAACACGTCTGTGAGAGCCATACCGTACTGTCTAGACCACCTGTAAGCTCCAATACCACTCTGTTCCACAACATCTCACCTTTCACCTGTCAACATAAGTCTGTGAGTTCCCACATAATACTGCAGCCAACCCTCCCCCATCACACAACTACTTCCCTTTCCTCTTTACCCTTTCCTATGACCTCTCACCTTTTACCTCTCATCAACATCCACTAGCCTAGAGTGCCTTTTTCCATCTCCCATGACCTCTGACCTCCTCTGTGACTGTTGTTCACCCTGTCCATGACCTCTGCCCTCTGCCCTCTCCTCTGGGACTGTTGTTCACCCTGTCCTCTGTTTCCAATACAGGTACATTAGAGTGAACATCTCTAAACTCCTTCACATTGCCTTTGTTGGCTTTGTTATCAGTGTTAGCATGTTATTGTGAGTGTTTCTGTGTGTATAGAGTTAACTCACTCCTTTTTCAAAGTGGTCTGTTGTGTTTATTGATGGTTGCAGTGTGTGTGTGTGTCTTGGCCACACTGAGTTTGTAGCAGAGGTGTAGATCAGTGGTGTAGTGGAGGGTAAAGGAAAGATGCATTGAAAGAATAGTGAGCGTTACTTTTTTCACTGCGACCGCCGATCAGAGTTTACCCACCTATTGTTTTACCGCTACATCACTGGTGTAGATGGATGTTTGATCTGTAAACGTCCCTCTCCATCTTTCTCTCCCTGCAGTCTCTTACAGACCTGGGTGATTGATGAGGGCTGTTTACATAGAGCTCTATGGAGCCCAGCTTACAATGCGTGTGTGGGAGTGTGGGGGTGTGCATCTCAGCTTTATGGGTGTGTGTGCATCTCTCAGCTATGTGTGTGTTAGTGTTGGCTCTGTCCATGGCTCTCTCCCAGTTGCCAGAGTCACCTACCCAGCCACAGTGCCTGTCTGTCAGCCTCCTCTCCCCCCAGCCTCCCCTTGGATTCCAGGTCCTGGAGCTTTTACGGACAGAGTTAGATTCAACATAGGCATGCACTGTACACCACTGGAGCCTTAAGAGCCTTGTTCTCTATAGTGTTTCCATATGGATTTACTGTGCTGTATGCATATGGCCACGTCCCAAATGTGGCACCCTATTCCCTATATAGTGCATGGGCCCTGGTCAAACGTAGTGCACTATATAGGGAATAGGGTGCCATTTGGGAAGCATACAATGAGTGAGGTAAGTGCTATTTGTAGTGCTGGCGTCTCATGTCTAGAGCACAGTACTAATGTCCCCTTCCATAAAGTGAGTCAGGGGACAGATAAAGTGACAGGGAACAGCTTTGTCACTCTCTCTGTGCTGTTAGCGGTCATATGATATCTTTATTCATAATTGGATGGAGAAAGACTGCTATATAAAATTGTAAATTGTCTAGTGGGTTGGAGATGTGAGGCTTTCTTTCCCTCTGTCTTATCTGTGTGTGTGTGTGTGTGTATTCTGTGTGTGTGTCTGTTCTGTGTGTGTTCATATTCATAGGCCATTCACAGAGATGATGGACGATGGCATGTGTAGACGCAGTCTGCTGACTCTGCTGCCATTACATTAACCACCTGCCTTGAAAGTGTGTGTACGTGTGTGTGCTTTTGAGCATATGCCTGCATGTGTGCGTGTGTGTGTTGTGTTTGTGTTGTGTGTGTGTTGTGTGTGTAATGTAGTTAATGGCCTGTGTACAGTCGTGGTCAAAAGTTTTGAGAATGACACAAATACTAATTTTCACAAAGTCTGCTGCCTCAGTTTTGAAGATGGCAATTTGCATATACTCTAGAATGTCATGAAGAGTGATCAGATGAATTGCAACTAATTGCAAAGTCCCTCTTTGCCATGAAAATGAACTTAATCCCAAAAAAACATTTCCACTGCATTTCAGCCCTGCCACAAAAGGACCAGCTGCCATCATGTCAGTGATTCTCTCGTTAACACAGGTGAGAGTGTTGACGAGGACAAGGCTGGTGATCACTCTGTCATGCTGATTGAGTTAGAATAACAGACTGGAAGCTTTAAAAGGACGGTGGTGCTTGAAATCATTGTTCTTCCTCTGTTAACCATGGTTACCTGCAAGGAAACACGTGCCGTCATCATTGCTTTGCACAAAAAGGGCTTCACAGGCAAGGATATTGCTGCTAGTAAGATTGCACCTAAATCAACCATTTATCGGATCATCAATAACTTCAAGGAGAGAGGTTCAATTGTTGTGAAGAAGGCTTCAGGGCGCCCAAGAAAGTCCAGCAAGCGCCAGGACCGTCTCCTAAAGTTGATTCAGCTGCGGGATCGGGGCACCACCAGTGCAGAGCTTGCTCAAGAATGGCAGCAGGCAGGTGTGAGTGCATCTGCACGCACAGTGAGGCGAAGGCTTTTGGAGGATGGCCTGGTGTCAAGAAGGGCAGCAAATAAGCCACTTCTCTCTAGGAAAAACATCAGGGACAGACTGATAGTCTGCAAAAGGTACAGGGATTGGACTGCTGAGGACTGGGGTAAAGTCATTTTCTCTGATGAATCCCCTTTCCGATTGTTTGGGGCATCCGGAAAACACCTTGTCCGGAAAAGACAAGGTGAGCGCTACCATCAGTCCTGTGTCATGCCAACAGTAAAGCATCCTGAGACTATTCATGTGTGGGGTTGCTTCTCAGCCAAGGGAGTGGGCTCACTCACAATTTTGCCTAAGAACACAGCCATGAATAAAGAATGGTACTAACACATCCTCCAAGAGCAACTTCTCCCAACCATCCAAGAACAGTTTGGTGACGACCAATGCCTTTTCCAGCATGATGGAGCACCTTGCCATAAGGCAAAAGTGATAACTAAGTGGCTCGGGGAACAAAACATCGAAATTTTGGGTCCATGGCCAGGAAACTCCCCAGACCTTAATCCCATTGAGAACTTGTGGTCGATCCTCAAGAGGCGGGTGGACAAACAAAACCCCACAAATTCTGACAAACTCTAAGCATTGATTATGCAAGAATGGGCTGCCATCAGTCAGGATGTGGCCCAGAAGTTAATTGACAGCATGCCAGGGCGGATTGCAGAGGTCTTGAAAAAGAAGGGTCAACACTGCAAATATTGACTCTTTGCATAAACTTAATGTAATTGTCAATACAAACCTTTGACACTTATGGAATGCTTGTAATTATACTTCAGTATACCATAGTAACATCTGACAAAAATATCTCATAACACTGAAGCAGTGAACTTTGTGAAGACCAATACTTGTGTCATTCTCAAAACGTTTGACCACGACTGTAGTGCTGTGGAGGGAGCTACAGTGAAGCATGCTGCAGGATTCACTTAATATTCCCACCAGCAGCTGGACACAGTCATTATTTTGCAGCACTTCTATATCTGTGTAAACCTGTGGATTACTCTTCCTCCTCCTTCTCTCCTCCTCCTCTCCTCTCCTCCTTTCCTCCTCCTTCTCTCCTCCTTTCTCTACCGCATCCTTGTGTGTGTGTGTGTGTGTGTGTGTGTGTGTGTGTGTGTGTGTGTGTGTGCTTCTGCCTGCATGAAGTGTTCCTTTGGTGTGACCCTGGTGTTACCATCGTTGCAGTGGTGTTACTATGGCGTTGCCGTACTGTTACCATACGGTTGCTGTGTTGTTGCCGTGCTGTTGCCAAGCAGTCGCCCTTTGACCTCTCTGTGACCTCTGTGTTCCACCCCCCTATAGGTCATCATGTACCCCTCTAGCCGTTGGTCGCTGGGTCACATATACACCCCCCACCGGCCTCCTCTCCACCCTCCTCTTCCTCCTCCTTCACCACTCCTCCTCCATCACAAAGTTCCCTTTCAGGTCTTCCTCCCTTCTCCGTTCTTTCTTATTCTTTGACTGTCTTTGGCCTTTTTGTTGGTTTTGTCTCCATACACTTTGATCACTTAATAGAAGCCATTTGATTTGTTTGTTTGGTTCGGTGATTGGTCCTATCTCTGTCAACTCCACTCAGATCGTGTGTGTGTGTGTTTGTGTCTTTCAAATCAAAATCAAATCAAATCAAATGTTATGGGTCACATACACATATTTAGCAGATGTTATTGCGGGTGTAGCGAAATACTTGTGTTCCTAGCTCCAACAGTGCAGTAGTATCTAACAATTCACAACAATACACAAATCTAAAAGTAAAAGAATGGAATTAAGAAATAAAATACAGTAGAATAGAATTCAGTATATACATATGAGATGAGTAAAGCAATGTTCCATTATTAAAGTAGCCAGTGATTCCATGTCTATGTATACAGGGCAGTAGCCTCTAAGGTGCAGGGTTGAGTAGCCAGGTGGTAGCCGGCAAGTGATGGCTATTTAACAGTCTGATGGCCTTGAGATAGAAGCTGTTTTTCAGTCTCTCGGTCCCAGCTTTGATGCACCTGTACTGACCTCGCCTTCTGGATGATAGCGGGGTGAACAGACCGTGGCTCAGGAGGTTGATGTCCATGATTATCTTTTTGGCCTTCCTGTGACATCGGGTGCTGTAGGTGTCCTGGAGGGCAGGCAGTGTGCCCACGGTGATGCATTGGGCAGACCGCACAACCCTCTGGAGAGCCCTGTGGTTGCGGACGGTGCATTTGCCGTACCAGGCGGTGATACAGCCCGACAGGATGCTCTCAATTGTGCATCTGTAAAAGTTTGTGAGGGTCTTAGGGGCCAAGCCGAATTTCTTCAGCCTCCTGAGGTTGAAGAGGCGCTGTTGCGCCTTCTTCACCACACTGTCTGTGTGGGTGGACCATTTCAGATTGTCATTGATGTGTACGTGGAGGAACTTGAAGCTTTCCACCTTCTCCACTGCGGTCCTGTCGATGTGGATAGGGGCGTGCTGTTTCCTGAAGTCCACGATCAGCTCCTTCGTTTTTGTTGAGGGAGAGGTTATTTTCCTGGCATCACTCCGCCAGGGCCCTCACCTCCTCCCTGTAGGCTGTCTCGTCATTGTTGGTAATCAAGCCTACTACTGTTGTGTCGTGTGCAAACTTGATGATTGAGTTGGAGGCGTGCGTGGCCACGCAGTCATGGGTGAACAGGGAGTACAGGAGGGGGCTGAGCACGCACCCTTGTGGGGCCACTGTGTTGAGGATCAGTGAAGTGGAGGTGTTGTTTCCTACCTTCACCACCTGGGGGCGGCCCGTCAGGAAGCCATCAGAAAGCTATAGTCAATGAACAGCATTCTTACATAGGTATTCCTCTTGTCCAGATGGGATAGGGCAGTGTGCAGTGTGATGGCGATTGCATCGTCTGTGGATCTATTGGGGCGGTAAGCAAATTGAAGTGGGTCTAGGGTGTAAGGTAGAGGTGATATGATCCTTAACTAGCCTCTCAAAGCACTTCATGATGACAGAAGTGAGTGCTATGGGCGATAGTCATTTAGTTCAGTTACCTTTGCTTTCTTGGGTACAGGAACAATGGTGGACATCTTGAAGCAAGTGGGGACAGCAGACTGGGATAGGGAGAGATTGAATATGTCCGTAAACACTCCAGCCAGCTGATCTGCGCATGCTCTGAAGATGCGGCTAGGGATGCCGTCTGGGCCGGCAGCCTTGCGAGGGTTAACACACTTAAATGTTTTACTCACGTCAGCCACGGAGAACAAGGGCCCACAGTCCTTGGGAGCGGGCCGCATCGGTGGCACTGTGTTATCCTCAAAGCGGGTGAAGAAGGTGTTTAGCTTGTCTGGGAGCAAGACGTCGGTGTCTGCGACATGGCTGGTTTTCCCTTTGTAATACGTGATTGTCTGTAGACCCTGCCACATACGTCTCGGGTCTGAGCCGTTGAATTGCGACTCCACTTTGTCTCTGTACTGACGTTTTGCCTGTTTGATTGCCTTACAGAGGGAATAACTACACTGTTTGTATTCAACCATTTGTGTGTGTGTCTGTGTGTCTGTGTGTGCACGTTTGTGCGTGCGTTCATACATTCTTCCAGTTTCAGCTTTGCAGTGTTCAGAGACAGGGACCCACTCCCCAAATAATATTTTCGTCTATCACGGACGAATGTGGTGGAAGGAAAGCACCCTCGGCAACCAGAATGAGCATTTTGATTGGTTGTTGAAAAGTTTGCTCTTGAGGGGGAAAGAGCATAGATTGGTCTTCAACAAGTAATTTTCAACAATGGGAAGGCAGTTGTGGGGGTTAGAGTACAGTATAGGGGATTATTTGTAAAAAATATATATTTTACACAGTTTTCTTTTCTCCTTAAAATACATTGTGATACGTTCATTGATATGAGGCCAACAATATATTTTCAGACCTAAAGCAAGTGCCTCCATATTTGAGTGTTGGTGTGGAAGTCTGTGATTGTGCCTCTCCACTATAACTCCCTCTCTCTCACCTGTTCCCTCAGCCCCAGACCCCTCTCTTTCACTCCCTCTCTCTCTCCTGTTCCCTCAGCCCCAGAACCATCTCTTTCACTCCCTCTCTCTCTCCTGTTCCCTCAGCCCCAGACCCCTCTCTTTCACTCCCTCTCTCTCTCCTGTTTCCTCAGCCCCAGACCCCTCTCTTTCACTCCCTCTCTCTCTCCTGTTCCCTCAGCCCCAGATCCCTCTCTTTCACTCCCTCTCTCTCTCCTGTTCCCTCAGCCCCAGATCCCTCTCTTTCACTCCCTCTCTCTCTCCTGTTCCCTCAGCCCCAGATCCCTCTCTTTCACTCCCTCTCTCTCTCCTGTTCCCTCAGCCCCAGATCCCTCTCTTTCACTCCCTCTCTCTCTCCTGTTCCCTCAGCCCCAGATCCCTCTCTTTCACTCCCTCTCTCTCTCCTGTTCCCTCAGCCCCAGATCCATCTCTTTCACTCCCTCTCTCTCTCTCCTGTTCCCTCAGCCCCAGATCCCTCTCTTTCACTCCCTCTCTCTCTCCTGTTCCCTCAGCCCCAGATCCCTCTCTTTCACTCCCTCTCTCTGCCCTGACATTTATTATTATCCCACAGCGTTTAACCAACCCTCTCCTTCTCCCTCTCCCTCTCAGATGGAGCAGCCGTCGATGGAGCAGAAGGGTCATGCCAACGTGCCGTGGATATTGGAACCAGGGCAGGAGGCCAAGAGAGGAGCCAACACCAAGTATGAGACCACTATTTTCTAATAGCGTATACCACCCGCCTGTCCACTCCTGTGTGTGTGCCTTGCAGAGAGAGCTGGCCCTCTAGAGGCCCCCCAACGGAGCTGCACGGCACAAGCGACCCTCTTATGCGGCGACGTGTGTGACCTCACTGGCCGAAAACCTGCTCCGCCGTTAGCTGCCTCAACCTCTGCATGATGACGTTTGGCGCTGTGCTGTGTGTCTCTCTCTCTCACACACTCCTCTCTCTTGCGCTCCCCAACCCCCCCCCCCCCCCCCCCCCACCCCGCTGCCCCCCCTTCCTTTTCCTGTTGACGCCTTAGCCTGCCTGCAGGGGCGGAGCATGAACCTTTTACCCTTGGGGTGATGGTGTACCTCTCTGTCTAGACCTGTAGGGGGCAACAGTCAGTTCTATTTTTCCATTTTTCACAGTCAGCCCTCCCCTCTTATGTGTCAGGCAGTCAGTTGGTTGGTCAGTAAATCACTCTTATTTTTTTCCTGACTGGGGGGATGGAACCATTTGGTTATCTCTCTTTATTTCTCCTCCTACTGCTGTTCCTCCACTCTTCGCTTTTCCTTTTTGTCAGCCCTCTCTCTCTTTTTTCACCCCTTCGACAAGCTGAATGAGAATATCTAGACCATTATGCTGCTAAGAACCCCACCCTTAACAGTCTTTTTGTCTTTGTTGTTTTTTAGAGCAAAGCCAATTCTCCAGCACTAGGTTTGCGTGCTGATGTTTTGGGGGATTTTGTTGTCCAGTACTGGTAACCCAGAGGAAAGTGGAGGGAACATTTTTTTATCAGTTCCATCCAGTTGGAGAGGATAATGGACTGCTATGAGAGATGATGTAGCAAATGTTACTTTACTTTTCAAAAAAAGTTGCTAGTTCAACAGACTCCTGTTTTTATCATATATCAGTCTTTGATTTTTACAGCAGATTATTTTTTTGAAACATTGTGAGACATATTTTGAGAAATGTTTGAGTGGCAAAGCGTTGTTTGTTTATTTGAAGCTAATTTACCTTTGATACAGGAAGGAATAGCTTTTAAACCACACGCTGTACCTGTGTCCAGATTGAATCTGTTTAAAATAGGTTATTATTTGATGCATCATTTTTTTTCTATACTTGTTTTGTTGGGAAATGCTGAAAAGGTTTAGCTTGTGGCTTGTGAGGCGCATGGCGTTCATTTTGGACTGACTGGTGACGAGGGAGGGGTGGGGCCGGTGGAGGTGGATAGGAGGTGGGGTTTGGGGACTATCTGGATAAGTGATGTAATCTCATTCGCAGGGCAATGCCGGACGCCCATGTCTATTACTGTGGAATGCAAAGAATGTAGCCAGCCCTAAACACGGACCCTCTCACACACAATGCAAAAAGGACTACAAATATGGACCCTTCTGTCTCTCACAGTGTCAAAGGACTGCAAACATGGACACTCTCTAACGGACTTGGTGTTTAAGGTTGATTACAGAACGAGGACATCCATCGTCCCACAAACCACAAACATTGGACCCATGGACTAACGGTGCGCACACACACACACACACACACACACACACACACACACACACACACACACACACACACACACACACACACACACACACACACACACACACAAACACACACAGTTAAAGGACTGCTTAGTAACAGATGTCAGTCAGATATGTGAATATAGACTTTCATTGAAGCAGCCACAACAACAACTCTAGCCCCTGTTCTGCATTCAACTGAACCTTGACCTTTGAACTCTTTACAACGGTCACCCAAGGTCTGGCGGTAACAGACAACGGTCCACAAACGCACCACTGGGGCATGTCTGTATTTGAATGGGGATGGGGTAAAGAACTTCTGATTTGCTATTTTCCTCTTGTTTTAGTTTTGTTTAATGGTCAATAATACAATAATACAATAATACGGATATAATTGGACTAGCCGTGCCAGACCACCATGCAACAGGTGAGCCCTGTGCCAAGTGACATCACAAAGGATGGCTCCGCCTACCTGAACGAAATGCCATCCATCCCAATTAACAAAATATTCATATTAATGCCGGAAGTTTTAAATGTTTCATATGAGAGTATTATATTACCTTATAGTTATGATTATTCTTGTGCAATTCTTGTCTACTGTTGTCTTAATGTTACATTATTTTTATATGATATGCTGAAATAAAAAAATGTGGGCTTGAGAATGATCGCCATCCTTTAAAAAAATACCATAATAGTTCTATACTGAGAGTGAATGTTTCAGATGGATCCTCTCGTTATTATTAATAATAATAGCTATTATTATTTTTATTATTATTGGTGTGTCTGGTCAACACACCAATCCGTTTCTCATGGGGCTAGACTCATAACTCCAAGCAGATGTAATATTTTATCACAGTATTTATGTATTCTTTGGATGAATACATAGTCCTCCTCTCTAAATGTACATAGATATTTTGCCAACTCATTGTTCATTCATGTAATGTAGTAAAACATGTAAAAAAATTAAGGAATAAAAGATTTGCCGTACATCGCACTGGAAACAAGGTACCAAAATGAAAGGTCAGAGTTGAAAATAAAATATATAGTTATAGAGATTGTATTGGGGAGGGTTGGGACGGGGGGGTGATGAAATCACTGCTGACTAACTCATGTACAAAGGCTTGGGCTTCCAGCACACAGATTTTGTACGTTTTGGTCATTATTTATATCCTTGTAAATCACATGGAATAAACACAACTTGTACAACCATTAATCAACATTGGTCTCCTGGTCTATACTTTCCTGGGTTGTAATGTACTGGTTGAGATGATGTCCTTTTTCATTTGTCCCATGTTTTATCTGACACCTTCCTTTTTCCAACTTGTACTAATTTTTGTTGTAGGTCAAATGTATTTCATTGATTCCTCGTGTCCTCTCTCTTCACCTCACCTCAAAAGGCATTGGAGGAGGAGGTCTGAGGTTCCTCCCCTTGTACCTTCTCCAATTCGTTTTTTAGAAGGAGACAGGCAGAGAGGATGTGACGAATCAAGGAAATACAATTGAGATGCACCCATATAATTATGAATTAGAAAACTAGAATGGCATGAACCTTCTTATTATGGGCTAAAGGTCAGCCATTTTGGTCAGGCAGTTGGTCAACCATAATTTGCCAGTGCCGTAATAAGTAATTGTGTAAAATAATGAATTTGAATAATTTATCTGCACTGTATTTTTTGTTAGCTAGCTAGCCAGCCAGTTTTAGAGGAATGATTCCATACATTTTTCAAATTAACTGCCAAATTGCCAACATTCCATTCAAACGATGCAGTCAATCCACAGCCATACACTGGCTGAAATCAGTTGATGATAGGACTTAGAAAAGTTGTAAAGGCATCAAGTACTGATATTGTATGGTCTGTGTACATATATTTTAGAGGCTATTTATAGAGAAAATTGGTATAAAACCTGTATAAACTGTATTTATAATTACATGACAATATTTTAGGTTGACAATAATTCTATTACACTGATATATCACACGCCTTACTTCTATTTTGATGGATAAGTAAAATCAGGATTATGGCTCTGCCATGCGTTCCATGGCTGCCATTTTCACCCCATTCTGGAATTTTGAGGGTTTAAGACATAGCCCCTCTAGTAATTGAATAGGCTCTTTATGGATGCACCCATTTGATGCACTCTTCCTGATGGACAAGCTTTTAACCAATCAAACACTTCCCTCCTGTCTCCAGTCCACCACAGAAGGCGGAACTTCCTCTCACTCTCTTCCATAAAATGGCCTCACCTCCTGTTTTTCTCTTTATCTGGATGTGTTTGAAATGGAAGTGCTGTGCTCCTCTTGATTTGTTCGACTTTTTAATTGGATAACTTTTCTGTTTGACATTTTGTCTATCATGTGTTTCCTGTTACCCGCCCTATTTGTCCTCAGTTCATTCCATTTTGCTGGCAATTTGATGTTATTAGTTATGTGTTTATTTGTTGCAGATTAATTACCCATCCTTTACCATTCATCCTATTTCATCTAATAAAATATCAGCCCAATCACCTGCGTTTTAATGGACATACCACCATGAGATTCCAGTCCAAGCAGCACCCCCCACAGTCCACCAGTTCCAATGTCAGTCAAAATCAAGGAATTTGCCAGTGCTGTAATAAGTAATTGTGTAAAATAATGAATTTGAAGAATTTATCTGCACTGTATTTTTTGTTAGCTAGCCAGCCAGCCAGCTTTAGAGGAATGATTCCATACATTTTTCAAATTAACTGCCAAATTTCCAACATTCCATTCAAACGATGCAGTCAATCCACAGCCATACACTGGCTGAAATCAGTTGATGATAGGACTTAGAAAAGTTGTAAAGGCATCAAGTACTGATATTGTATGGTCTGCAGGGGCGGTGTGTTCATTAGGGCGATATGGGCGACGCACTGCCAAACGGGAAAAGGAAGGGATTTTTTTTCTAATCAATTATATCACGGCAACAGTAGTTATCAGTGTTCTAATCTAGACGTCTGATCTGCCACTAAATGTCCAATCAGGCTAAAGTGGTGCTTCAAATGGACCCGCCCCTTTTGGGGCGATTTCAGTCAGGTTGAAAATCGCCCAGGAGTCTCTCATAGACTATCATGTAAAATCTTTTTTTTTTCCAAATATCAGAGCTTTCAATACAATCTCTATGGGTTCCGGGAGGGCTTGCACTTACGCGCTTTCGTCATACGTAACATAAGTAACCATGAACATAACTAAGAAAAGAGCGGGTAGCAGCGTCAATCAATTCACGTACAACTGTCAAGATGGCTAGCTTTGCGAGGCAAAGATGAAACTGAGGGCTCCACCAACCCTGGTATTTTTCTTGGACTTGTCAACTTTGTGGCACAATTAGATGAGGTGTTTGATGACCATCTTAAAAATGCTAAAGTTTTCAAGGGCACATCAAAGACCATTCAAAACGAGCTACTGGAGTGTATGCTAGCGGTCATGAGGGAACATATTGTGGAGGAGGTGAAGTCGGCGAACTTCGTAGCTATCCAAGCTGACGAGACCACGGACGTTTCTACACAGACACAGCTGGTGCTTGTGCTGAGGTACATAGATAGCAACCACAAAGTGCAGGAGCGCTTTTTTGAGTTCCTTCCCATCTCGGAATCAACCTCAGTCTCAATCGCCAGTGTGCTTTTGGAGAGACTGAACGGTCTTTTTGCTGACGACGAGAAAGTCAAACTCATTGCGCAAGCTTACGATGGAGCCAGTGTGATGAGGGGAGAGAAGGCTGGTGTGCAGCAAAAGGTGCGTGGGCATTTCAAGAATGCCCATTACGTGCATTGCTATGCGCATCAGCTGAATTTGATCATGCAGCAAGCTAGAACAGTTTCAGTACAAGTAATGTAGCCTCTCTCTCTCTTTGTCCCTCCCTGTCTGTCTCTTTAACACACACACGCCCAAATCAGTTCACAGTTGATGTTGTTTAAAATAGTTATTTTTCATTTTTTTTAAAGTAAAAAAAAAATCTGTTCATGTTAATTTTTACAAATCTATACAATTGGCCAGAATATGGTTGTTCATATTTACAAATCTATACAATTGGCCAGAATATGGTTGTTCATTTTTACAAAGCCATACAGATAGCTGTGTTTACCTTTTCTATAAATTATTTTCAAATTCTGTTTTCAGGCAAAATGTCTATCACTGTTCATTTTCACAAATCTATACAAGAGGGCAGAATATGGAAGTCTATAAAAATGTCTTATTACCAATAACTTGCATCAATGTTTTCAGTAGCCTCTATCAAAAGCTCCTGCTTGCTTGTTGTGAATTATGCTCAGGTGCACATATTTCCAATTCAACCATGAGGCCTTTTTGAAGCAAGTAATGTGTATATCAGTATTGACTTATATGCTGCCCCTGTCTTCATGTTGTTGCTGGACATATCTTTTTAAAAATGTGTGTAGGTCACCTAAATCATCAGAAAAATTGCCCCCCCTGAGAATTTTTTCAGGAGCCGCCACTGATGGTCTGTGTACATATATTTCAACAGCTGACATAACTTGTCATAACCTGTTATAATATGGTCATAACACTGTCATGACACCTATATTTAGATATTTTGTGACATATATTGCGTTATTTTAAGGCTGGTTAAGACACCTATATAAGAGTGTAAAGAACTCACAAAACCTACCACGGTAGTTATTTTATGGCTGGTTATGACACCTACATAAGAGTGTCAAAAGCCACAAAACCTACCACACAAGGCAATGTTTTACAAATGCATTGGAGTGCATGCAATAAAGCTTACTCTAGTCTAGGCCATGTGAACATGCATGTAATCAAACACATACAATAAATATAAGAGGAGAGACGGTCCAGCTGATCTACAGCAAGTGAGAGAAACAGTATCATACAGTGTGTTATCGCAATGTGTGAAATCTCATCCGAAGTGTGTCGTAATCACAATTTACACCCTCAAACCAATTAAACACCTACATCAATCAAAGTGTCTTTGTGTGGCAGATTTTACACAGAGATTTGTCATAGGACTTTTCACAAGAAACCCAG